TCCTTCGAATTTGCTACTGCTCCGCTGTTATCACAGAACACTGTGATTGCAGTGGGGAAACTCGGTACCACATCAAGGTCGAGGAGAAAATTCCTGAGCCAGACAGCTTCTTTCGTTGCCTCTGAGGCTGCTACTTACTCAGCCTCCATGGTTGAGTCCGCCACACATTTCTGCTTGACACTCCTCCATACTATGGCTCCTCCTCCTAAAGTAAACTCAAACCCTGAGGTTGACTTGCTTTCGTCCCGGTCTGCCTGAAAGTCAGAATCGGTGTAACCCAACGGAAGCAACTCATGTGCCTCGTAAATCAACATGTACTCCTTAGTCGTACGAAGGTACTTGAGTATATGCTTTACCGCAGACCAATGTTCCGGTCCTGGATTACTCTGATATCTTGCTACCATGCCCACGGCATAACAAATATCAGGTCGCGTGCACAACATAGCATACATGAGGCTTCCTACTGCCGATGCATAAGGAACTGCCTTTATGTCCTGTATCTCTTGAGGCGTCTTCGGGGACATCCTCTTAGACAGAGGTATTCCGTGCCAAAAGGGTAAATCCTCTTTCTTGGAATCCTGCATGTTGAAACGCTTTAGGACAGTGTCTATGTATGAGGACTGGGATAGGCACAACTTTCTCTTCTCTCGATCGCGAATGACCTTGATTCCGAGAACATGTCCTACTTCACCCAAATCCTTCATATCAAACTGCTTGGATAACCATACCTTTACGTCTGACAACATCTTCACACTGTTTCCAATGAGAAGAATATCATCCACGTACAACACTAGAAACACCACCACATTTCCATCACTTTTCTTGTACACACATTGCTCATCCGGACATTGGGTAAATCCATACGATTGGACAATCTCGTCAAAAAGGATGTTCCAAGACCTCGAAGCCTGCTTCAGCCCATAAATGAACGTCTTCAGCTTGCAGACCAGATGCTCTTGGCCCTTTGCAATGAATCCTTCTGGTTGCTGCATATAGATATCCTCGTCCAAATTCCCGTTAAGGAAAGCGGTCTTAACATCCATTTGCCAAATCCCATAATCCATATGAGCGGCCACAGCCAAGAGAATCCTGATGGATTTGAGCATGGCTACCGGCGAAAAGGTTTCCTCATAATCGATCCCGTCTTTCTGAGTGTACCCTTTCGCAACAAGCCTAGCTTTGAAGGTCTCAACCTCCCCATCTGCTCCTCTCTTTCTCTTATAGACCCACTTGCATCCAAAGGCGCGAATGCCACTGGGTGGCTCTACAAGATCCAAGACCTGATTAGTGTCCATTGACTCTAATTCAGACTTCATCGCCTTTTGCCAAGACTATGCGTCCCGATCTTGGAGTGCCTCATTGTATGTCCATGGGTCGGATTCAAGAACGTCCGGGACGGCCTCAGAAGACTCTCCCAGACCCATGAACTGTTCGG